TTTTACCCATAGTGAATGGAAGCAGTCCGTCAGTTATGGTCCCGTAAGCCATGATACAATCATTAAGCCCAATAGGGTATACCGTGTTAAGGGCCTGTATCCAGAAGTGCTCCCGTTGAAATAGGCTAGCAGTGGTATTGTCAACACATTCAACAATTTCAATGCCCATAGGCTCTAGTCCGTGTTCAGGTAACTGATAGTGATTGTAAAGGATACTATTTGTTTTACAGACAACATTGTATCTGTGCTTCCTTGCTCGAGCTTATAGAGTTCATTTGCTTTGACTCACGTATTGTATGCCGCAAACTCTACACGTAATTACGTAAATTATACCAGCTGTTCTGCAAGTGAGCAAATCGTCGGGATTGCATAGGGGGACAAAACGGGAGCTGGTGACGGAGGAGTGTACCAGCCCGTCGGAAGAAATTATCGGCAGCAGATACAACTGCTGCCGCAAGCATGTGTGAAATTGCGAATGTTATTGTCACGTCCAGTAATTCTAGTAATACGACCATGTAAATCAGTCCGAAAAAGTTGTTTAAATGCATGACCACCCTGTTTTTCAGCTAAATCATACGTGGACAGTCTACCGGATGAAGTAGCACAGTTAACTATATCTGTTTCTTTTGCTGACCGTTAAGAGGATTGCGCCCGGCCAAAGGCACAAACCTTTTAGGAACCGCGCAGCTGGGCAGGGCTGCTGCTTATCGGGCTACGACCAGTACCAAAATTATCCCTTTAGAGCCAAGCGGTGCCAGTCCGGCGACCTTTTAACCGGTAACCAGTGGAGGAGCTCCCAAAACCGGTAGCGATCGAGAGGTGGGAAACTAACTTGGAGCCATAGACCAAGTTGAAAGCAACAGATTTCAAAGCTGCAGCTATGTTAGAATCACCAAATTAGCACCACAACGGCACCAACTTTCATTTGATCGCTTCCTGAACTGAATTAATGGGAAAGCCAAATAAACAAACACACACGAACGCAGAGGGACCCGAATCCATGCTTCCTCCTTTTTATGCGTTTGCTATGCAATGCAAAAACCATATTGACGAGGGGTTGTCTGTGTGTCCGTGTGTCTGTGTGCCTGTTTTCTGTGTGTGCGTCTGTCACGTACTTTCACCTCAAGATCTATATTAGCTGCGGGGCTGAAATTTCGGAAACTTTATCTACATGCACGTGCCGGCCCCAATTCCCAAAATGGGCGCCATTACCCGCGTGGTACCCGCATAC